AATACCCAAAAAGAACCCCCACCCGTATAGGTCGGTAGTGGTAGTGGTAGTGCAGTGGTAGTGGGAGTGGCAGTGGCAGTGGCAGTGGTAGTGGGAGTGGTAGTGGTAATCGGAGTACTAGTACTAGTACCAGTACTAGTACCAGTACTAGTACTAGTACTAGTACTAGTACTAGTACTAGCACGAGTACTGGTACTAGTAGTAGTAGTAGTAGTAGTAGTAGTAGCAGTAGTAGTAGTAGTAGTAGCAGCAGCAGCAGCAGGAGTAGTAGTAGTAGTAGTAGTAGTAGTAGTAGTAGTGGAATTCTGCCGAGCCCTAAACTCCTCCCAACCCTCCTGCTCGTTGTTGTCGCCCACAAGCGAGGCCGTGGGCTCCAGCAGGGCATGAGCAAAAGTGGTCTCACCGACCTCAGCATTTTAGGCAGCTAGTGCCTTCACCATGATGCGCGATGTGATCCCAAGGTTTTGGAAACGTGTGGCTCATATATTTTTATGGCAGAGTTCCATGTCTCCTCGCAATCCTCTCACTATTCACAAAAACACAGCACATGCTGCAAGGACTCCCGTTTTCGCGCCGACGAGGTCACTCATTTGGAGACCTTGAACTTAAACCAGGACTCCGGCCCCTTCTTCTGCTCACGGCGGCCACGAAGCCTCCGAGCCTCCTTGCTGGGCTGACCGAAATCGGCGTAAACATCCCAGAGGTCGGGAAGCTGCTTCTTGACGACCGCTGCTTTGAGCGGTGGCATCTCGTCCTGGTTTGGCTTCGGACACCGCTGCCGACACCTTCCGGGCCAGCGCTGTGAGCGGATCGAGCTGCGAGCTGCGAGCCGGCCTTTCGCCAAAGCCTCTCTCAGCGGCACTGGCCCTGAGAGCCCGGGGCCACAGGCTGCGCCCGGCGCCGCCAAAGGGCCGGTGCGCAGTGGCGCTCCCAGCACAGGCGCGGGTGGCAGATTCCTGGGCTCCACGACACCTAAGCGGCGAGCCTCGGCGTTGTCGTGGAGCCAGAGACTCTGCTGGTGCTGGAGCCCACAGCCATCCACCTTGAGGTCACTGAGACACCATCTTGCCTCCTCTTCGGACACATGCTTCAGCAGCTGCAAGAACTGCACATAGGGAGCCACCTTGCATGGGCTCAAGCTTGGAAGCAGCGCATGCTGGATGTGCATCTCCTCGATCAACAATGCAAGGGCCGGGGTGGCACAACTATGCGCCACCTCCCCGTCCGTGCCACAGATGAGGAAGGCAGCTATGAGCTCCCGGCGAACACGCTGCGAGACGGTATGCGCCTTGTCCAAGAATCGGTGATCTTCCCGAAAACGCGTGAGCCGCTGGACGGTGCTCTCGAAATCCTTGGGGGGGTCGTAGCTCTCATGGGATCGGTCGAAGAGCGCCTGGAATTCCAAGTTGGCCTTGGCGGCCGCCTTCTTGCGGTCGAAAGCCGGGTCTCCTCCGAACTCCGCATCGATGCCCTCCAGGCGACGGTCCAGGGGTCGACCGCCAGCACAGCGATCGCAGTGGCAGAGGAAGCCCCAGCCAGTTTGAAGGCTGGCCCGGCGGAGCCGAAGGGGTGAGAGCTGCTCGGCCTCCGACAGATAACAAATGCAGACTTCCTCCCGGGACCTGATCTCTTCCAGCGCGTAGACTCGAAAAGACCTGAGCTTAGCCCTGTATTTGGAGACGGACTCTGACAGCTCACCGGGTGCCAAGTGACCCCCGGCATTCGGAAAGCAGGAGTGGTTGAAGCGACTGCAGGCACGGAAGAGCATGGCCGGGTAGGCACCATCGGCACAGGGCCGGAAGGTGCGGAAGGCATAGCGGGAGGCTATCTCCAATGCCCTGGCTTGCGGAGTGTCGTCGCTTGCAGGCACGTCGAACTCCTGAAGGAGCCGGGAACTCTGAATCCAGTCGACACCTGCCTGCAGGTCCGGCGCATCCGGGTCGGAGCCACTGTCCCAAACGAAGGGCAGCTCTTCCAAGAGCAACTCGCCACGCTTCACCGTGTCCATGGACACATAGCCGCTGCCACGCTCACCAAGGTGAGAAAGCTTCAAAGAAGGATGCAAGTACAGCAGGGCTCCACTCTGAAACGGCAGGGATGCAGCCATCGCATGGGGATTGCAATGGCCCTAATGTTGAAATTGCAGGTAAACCATTCGCTTGGTCTGATGTCGGGGTGCTTCATGTCGCTCGCTGCAGGAAGGGTCATTTGCACTTCTTGGAATCATTTGCAATCACATATTTGCTCAAGTCCGACTGTCAGACTGATGTAAGAGCACAAAGTGGGCAGCTCGAGGTTCCTGTCTGCTCTAGTCTACTCAAGCTCCGAGAGCTGCACCGGCTCGCCAACTTTCATCTCCGCTTTCAACGGTGTCAGCGACGAAAGGCCCAAGGTCCTGACACGAGAGACATATAAACATGTCAAGATTTTCAAGAACATGAAGCACACTGAGAGCCAGACAACCCTGCCTCATGCTGGCCTGTGCTTTGCGGATGCCTTCGTCCAGCCAGGCCAGACGCTTCGTTGCTGTTTGAGAAAGGCCTGATAGGCTGCCGCGCGAACCATAGACACGCTACACTGCAGGTTCAGCTTGACCCTCTTCGTAAAGCACCGCAAAGTCAATGTTGCCGTCGTGGATCTTGTTGCTCCATCCGGAGACATTCAAACTGAGCCTCTACCCAAACCGTACGTGTGTAAAAATATATATACATACATACATACATACATCCATACATACACATACATATATATATATATATTAATATATATATATATATATACATATATACATAGCTCGCTAGCTAGCGAGAACCCAGGCACTCCCCTCGGGGGGCTGCCAAGCACGCAGCAGTCACTGTGGAACTCGCACCATGCTGTGGCGAGTGCACGAGTCCCACCACAATAATGAAACGGGAACACACGATTTTCGGAGGCACAAATGCGAGTCCCACGCAAATTTTGCGCGGATCACGACTGCACAACGTTGGGAATCCCTAAAGCCAATTGAGACGGCAGGACTACGAGATTACACGAGAAGCTCCCAGGAGCCAAATAGCACGACTCTGCCAGTGACTTCGAGCGATATGAAAGCCAAAACAGCAAGGGAGGGTGCGAAAGCAATTTCCACCCAAAACACGTACCTAGTCCCGCCAATTCCTTTACTTCCACCGTAAGAACCCCATAGTGTTAACAGGGGGACTCAGGGCCCTGCCTTGGATTTGGCAATACCCGAGCTCCGACACCTTCATGAGCGGCCTCTGCTTCACGAAGCGACTTTGAGAGAGGAGAAAACCTTACTGGTACCTGACATGATATCGCGAGAGCACATACTTACAACCCTGTAAGGCCTCACTAGCACATCATCAGGCCAGTGCAAGCACACAAGAAGTCTCGATGCTCGATTGCGATGCAGGTCATGTCCAACAGACTCAACAGAAGCATCAGTGTCTAAGAGCGGCACTCGAGCAAGTCCGGCCGAGCCAGGGTCCGGCAGGATCCTGCAGATGGATTCAAAGGTCACTCCCTCTTTTTTCTGGAAATGACTCAGCTAACCCAAGGAAGCCCATCGAGCCGGTCCTCTGCAAGCGACCACCAGATTCCGAAACTCCGGAGCCTGGGCTTTAAAGAACACAACGGCAACACAAAACCCCGGGAGAACGCCGAAAGCTGAGTCCGCGGCGCAGAGAAAGCGGGACGTGCAGAAGTGCGGCAACCTGAACTGAATAAGCGACTTCCGCCAAGTAGCAATCCCTTTCGCCTCTCGCGCTCTTCGAACGCTCCAAGAAGCTATGAAATCATTCGGACAGCCGTGAGGCAATGGCGCCAGTGCGTAGAGATCCGCTTCCGGATGCGACGCGGCTGTCAGCCTGCCAAGTCCATCAACGGCCGCCAGGTGAGGTCGAAACGCCACTTGGAGGCGCAACATCCTCGAACTATGCCCCAATTCACACTTGGCATGCTGCTGGAGCTCGACGATGCTGCGGCTTTCAGCCCAGACCTCAACAAGGTTAGCAGACTCCAGAGTTTTGACATAGTCGAAGACAAGCCTCCCTTCTGCACATGGGGTCTCCTTTTAGGGCGTTTAGGGCTTAGGGTTGGAAAACAAGATGTCCATATCCACAGCTTGTGCAGCACATGCCCGTCGAGGCCGCCGCCACTAAACGCTTGACTCGCACATGCAGGTAATCATCACCTCAAATGCAAGGAGTGAGCCACTGTCAATTCGGATCATGGCCCCTGCCGTCAATTACAGAAAACACAGCACCCGATTCAAGCAACCCAACGCACCGGCAAGCCATAAGTGAGGCTTACGCGCGATATCGCGGCCCGCCATGAAGCAAGCGACTGCAACATGACACAAACTTCTGGAAACTTGTCATGTGCTAGAATCCGAATGACGAAGAGGCGAATTATGATTACCATGTCCGTTCAGCGTTTGCTTCGTCGAACGTAGCACCTGGGGTTTGTAGCCACTACAGCTTACGAGCTCATGGCATCCGCACGCAACGAATCGAGCAAGACAGCCCTTGAGACCTGACGCTGCGTTTTGAAGAAGTTCACATATGGGTAGTTATCAAAATTATGGTCCCTTTTGGGGTACCCTAAATAATAGGTGCCGTATTATAATAAGGACCCAAAAAGGGACCCTAATTTTGACAACCACCCATATGTAACCCACACATCAGACGGCGAACGTTAGATCACACAGTACAGGTGGAAGAGACATTCAAGGCTGCATCGTGACAACGAAGACCAAGTTGAGGGTGGCCTTTGATTCTGTAGGAGGCAGCATGTATTCAAACATCAGCGATGAAGATCCGTCGCACACCCTGCATTTCTGCCCAGGAGGTTTCGGAAAAGCACCTCATGTAGGAGGTCTGCGCACATCAACTCTCAGAATCCACGGTCGAAAGCTTGACACAGGACTGCAGGTTGCCACGCTGCAAGATGTCTGAGGAGCTCAAGTCCGGAGACACTGCCCTGGCCTAAGCCGTTCCGGAGAAGCTGCAAACAGAATAGTGCACTTGTGGCTCACCCGAACCCGAAGCAACCAGACGTGTGCCCATTGGAAAGCCAAACCTCGGCACTCAGAAATGCAAAGCCTCGCTCCTTCTGCAGTGCAGCTCAGAAACCTTGTCCTGACGGTGGTAGGACACGTGTCCGTCGCACTTGTAGATTATGGGGCTGTGGCGACGAAGGTAAAAGGGAAGTGGTGGTAGTTGGAAACGATCTGCCCAAGATCCCCACTTTGTTGAACAAGCTCCATGGGCTCTAGTCCGGGCACGACCAGTCAGCCACAGGTCAACTCGCTTCCGCAGGGTCCCACCATCAGGCTTGAGTTTCACCGTGCCGGTGTTTCAGAACATACCGTCGATGAAAAGCTCATGAAAAGGAAGTTGTTGTCGTCCGGATCACCAATCAGGAAATCGCCGAGCTGAATGAACCTTTCTGCGGACGGCATCGCATCTTTTTGGACTCAAGTGCCCTACACAAACCCCAACCGACAGTCCCATGATGTGCCATGTTCCGGCCTGTCTCCGAAGTTGATGCCATGCTGAAATCCTTGCCAGTCATCTCAGGGCCGAGATGGGCTGCCATGGACCTTTTGGAGTGGGCTAGGAGCTCATGTACGGCTCTTGGCGAATAAGGGCTTTGGGCCTCTTATGCCGGGGCTTTACTCACTCCATGCTCTGCTGTACTGGACGCAGTTGGAGGCCCTCCGAACCGATAGCCGGGGGCTGCCCGCTTGTTGTGTCGGACTGAAAAAGTGATGGCTGTTCTTGGGAGCGTCGCAGCTAGCTGTAGGCCTCATGCAGATCACATCGGGCACCCCGCAATGTAGCCCCTCCTATAGCCCAAATCGCTGGCAAAACATGCCGAAGCTAAGCCCAGCTCCAATTCGCTCTCCAGGCGATTCAATCCACACGAGCGGCGTCTGCCCATCCTTTGGCGAAGCGGTAATCAAATACTGTTGACATCGGATGCTTAGCCCGTACACTGATGATGTCTTAAATAGGTACGGGGGCGACGCATTCTATGATTTCGCAATGAGTCGAACCAAAGTGTTCATGGATTTTGGACTTTGTGGACTTGGGCTGGAGCAGGTAGATTCACGAGTCTCCGATTTTGGGCTTCTGGTGTCCGGGCTGGGGCATTTTGCCAGGGCCCAGGGTTGAGGAAGCATGTTACAATGGCAAACACGGCCTTGAAGTAAGTT